GTCATTCTGCGAAATTGCAGACTTTATTCAAAGTCATATTTTATGCTTACTTTGATTGAATAGACTTCCGAAAAGTCGCGAGCATTATGCTTAGAAGCTTCAGTAGCCGATGTGATTAATTTTACTTCGGGTCGTGTTCTGAACTTACTATAATTATATCTATCGATTCCCTACTTCTCTCGTTTAGCCTTCTTTTACTTTGACTTGACTTTGACTTTGACTTTGACTTTGACTTGACTTTGACTTTGACTTTACTTTATTTCCGAAAAATCATATGTATTTTCTTTATAGATTAGAGACAGACTTGAAACATTGATCAAAATATAGCATAGTAGAAAAGCGTTACGAACAGACCAACAAACAAATTTACTTTGAATTTACTCACTTAGGCAGGACGGTTAGAGAAAGCTAGCAGCTATAAAAAATATATAAAATAGATATTAATACGATATATTTCCTCAACCATTAACAGCCCTTTTCAATATGTTTTATTAAAGAAAGTTGTTAGTATTTATTTACTTTTCATGGCTTGACTAGTTACGGGTCTATTGAGGAGTTATCGCGAGGCAGCATCGAGTGGCCATGACAGGCGACGTGAATGTCATAATTACAATGAAGCCGCTCGTCACCCACTAACAAAGCTCGCATCAATGCATCAACACAAACTTGTTTACAATATTATAAAGTGAATTACTCGCACCTACTCTCTTTGAAGGCTTAATAACGAATTCAATTCGACATCGGGCAGTTCTAAAGTCATCAAAAATATCGAGTGTTTGAAATGGAAAGCTGTTACATTGACAATAACATCTCGAGGACACGTTGTGTCTCAACCGGACAATGAAAGCTGACCCTCTGACCTGATGGAACAGGAGGGAAATCACAACAATAACAAGTAACAACACTTTGGAAGAAAATAATATATTTATTTGCATAAAATATGGTTTAAAAAGGTGTTAAATATTATATGTATAGCACAAACATGTTCAGCTAAGTTATGACAAAGCATGCAAATTTTTAAAATCACAAACACATCATTAATGAACAATTACAATAAATTAAAACTTTTTATCTAAAAATTCTTTTAGACTATAAAAACTATGTATGTTCAAGCAACCATTTATAAAATTTAGTTTTAAATAATTTAAAATTTAAAGCTTTAAAATGGCTCGGTATTTTTTTTATTATAAATGCGCACACAGATTGCTAGGCAGTTTTTAGCTAAGTATCGAGGCAAATCACATCTTTTGCAGTCTTAAACAATTGTATATTTTTCATTACAAACATACCTATTTCGTAAACATAAAGTGACGGTAACGGTAACAGGCCAAGTCTTCTAAATATTGGTTGGCATGAGTCATCAGGTTTGAGTCCACAAATTGATCTCATGCACTTTTTTTGAGCAATGAATGCTCTCTGAAATTCAGTGCATAACGTAGTAACGATTCAACGTATGCGTGGTATGAAGTTACAGCAGTTTTTACATTAGTTACGTTTTTTATTTGTTTATTTATTTATTTATTTATTTATTTATTTACATCACTAACAACCATCATTACAGATAAAATCCAATTCGATAGTGTAGCCATCAGTCTTACAAAATACAAAAGTAAGAACTTATAATCTAATTATTTAATGTATAGTTACCTAATATAATTTGAACAATCATAAAGAATAAACAAGAACATAAAAAATACTAAAAGGTAAGGTAATAAACAATAACAAACTTAATTCCTAAACATTCTTAAAAATTATAAAGTGAATACAATAATAAGTCTTAAACACTATTTTACTTAGGTAACCTACATTGTTTAAACACATACTACATAAAAGAAAGCTACTGACACTAACATAAAAATCTTTATAAGAAATAAAAGAAAAATAAAAGCACACTTACATCAATTTCAGTGAGATCAAATGTTATTATATGTACATATGTGGAGTAAAACTCGTGTGAGATCACTCGTTTTCCCCGAAAATATATCAACGCGGCTATGAACCTCGTTCACTACGCGAATGCTTCGAGTGATCGGTGTCTCGGCCAGCAGGTTGGTTCTAGTATCAGGGATGGCGAGCAGTGCCGGACGGCGTCGCCTCCACACGTACCGGTCAGGTACGCACAACTTCAGGTAGCGTAGCACTCCCGGGTTATGGACTGTACCCCGTAATAACTTTACCACGTAAGCAGCCAGAGTAAATTCCCTACGTACTCTTAGCTCGTTATACCCGACCATACCAAGTACGAATAGTGTCGGGTACATTAAGGGGTAAAAAGGGTATACTCCATACAGTTTAAAGTACAGGTGCCTTGTGAACTTGTTTTGTACTCGCTCTAACATGACACTGTACTTCGTTTCATGTGGAGACCAAATGATCGCATTATGCTCAAGGTGACTTCTGACTATAGCATCATACAGTACCTTGAGCGTAGATATTTTATTAAATCTTTGCGTCTGCCTCAGTACAAACCCTAGGTTTTTATATGCTTTTTTACACACCTTAGTAATGTGCTCCCGAAATGTTAAGTCTGGTGTCATGATAACTCCGAGATCTCGTACCTGTGAAACTCGCTGCATCGGTCCAGATTCTACCACGTACTCGTAGTGCGCTGGAGTTTTTGCGCGAGTAAACGTTATCATGGAGCATTTGTCTACATTGAAGAACAGCTTATTCTTTTGACTCCAATCTACTACACTTTGTATATCTTCTTGAAGACGCTTTGAATCCGATTCATTCTTAATTTCGAGTAGCAACTTCAGGTCGTTGTTTTAGTGCATATACAAATTTATTGATTCTTGTTGTAACATTGTCTATGTGTTCTTTCCAGTTCATGTCTTTGTCTATAATTACACCCAAAAATCTTGTATGCGTAACTTCTTTGATTTTATTGATATTGAGTATCGTTTTTATGATTATTTGATTGGTTAAATTGAATGAACACTGATTTATCTAAATTTATTCTGAAATGGTTAATGTCAAACCAATGTAGTAGTTTGTCAATTGTATTATTAATATGAAGCTGATGATCTGAAATGGTCGGAAATGGTATTATATTGTTTATTAGACAATAAAAGATATGTCATCGGCAAACAATATGCATTCATGGTTAGTTATATTTATTTATTTAATGTCATTAATATAAATGAGGAATAATATTGCCCAGGACGATTCCTTGCGGAACGCCATATTTATTGTATCTATATTCTGATGAGTAGGATATTATGTCATTATTTTTTTTTATTGATAATGACACATTGCTTTCTATCACTCAAATATGACGCTAACCACTGGAGCGCAGGTCCCCTAATCCCATTAGTTTCTAATTTCTGCAACAGATTGTCATGATAAACCAAATCGAATGCTTTTGATAGATCAAAAAAAGGCCGGTAGTCATAAAATTATTATTGATATTTGATAGTATTGCTTGCATCAAAGAATAAATGGCTAGTGATGTGAATTTTTTCTTTTGGAATCCAAACTGCTTGTCACTAATAATTTGATATTTATCACAGAAATTAATTAGGTAATCTTCTATACATACATTTTTCATAAATTTTAGAAAATATCTAAAGTAATATGTCGGTAATTATTAATGTCGCATGTGGCTCCTTTCTTGAATAAAGGCTTGATTAGGGAAAGTTTTAATTGATCAGGAAAGGTTCCATGGGAGAAGGACATATTTATTAGATGAGTGAGAATATTAGTTAGCTCATTACAACATTTTTTTTATGATTTTAGTATTAATTTCGTCATAACCCTCCGACCTGGTGTTAGACAGAGACATTATTTCCTGACGTATCTCGTTTAACAGCATTGGTCTTAGGAACATTGAGTTAGAAAATGCATTTTTGCAGCCGTTTTGGCGTGCGCATGCGCTGTTACCTACTTTTATATGCGTCACATTGACATAATGTTCATTAAATATTGTGGCTATTTGTGCAGGGTCTGTAACTGTAGAATCATTTAAATTTAAACATTCTATGTTATTTTTGTGAGAGTTATTATTTATTTCATTTTTAATGACAGTCCATGTTGGCATTACATTAATTTCTTAAGTTTGAATATATTTTATATTTGCAGTCTTTTTTGAATTATAGAATCTTTAGCAAGCTAGAGTAGTTATTATATTTTATTTTATTATCTACAGTTTTATTTTTGTAGTAGAGATATCGTAGTTTCCGTTTAGTTTTGCAAATTTGTCTCAAACCTTTACTTATCCATGTGTCGCGGAATGCTGCTCATGAATATGGGCCCCTAGCATGGCTTGAAACTAGTCGAGTATCTCGTCAAATTATTACGTGAGTAAGCCGAAAACATAATTAATAATTTAGAATGTCTCACGAAAGTTATAATAAATTTCTTGTGTTTGGAGACTGTCCGGCGCCTAAGGCCGAGCCCCCTGAGTCTGCCGGCGAGGCGGTGACACCATGACACCTAACACCAACGCGAGCTCCAAAGACGCAGCCCACCTTACGCATACAGGTGTAGTATCAAACCACCTGTTGGTCTGTTACACATCGGTGTCATGTGTCCGGCTCGTGTCCGGGGCACGCGAGCCCGTCCGGTCCGGACGAGTTTTCTCCGGTAATTGCCGCGTCCGGCCGTTGCGTCATGCGCTACACGAAGCTTTGTTCAGGAAATGTTCAGAGTACAGTTGTGGCTAAAGTTTAGTGTTATTTTGATTTTGTAGACGTTGTGTAACACCAACATTTTTTATCTCCTAACAATGCACTGTTTCAATTTTGTAACAAACAATAAATTACTGGCGAAAAGACAAAATTGTTAATAAGTTTTAGATCATTATTAATACATTATAAAAAGCATCGATAAATTAACAAAAGCTTTAATTCTTGAATAAATAATTTATCTATATGAAGAGAAAATACTCAAAGCCGATATGATGTAACGAGACCCAGATTCACATCGAATGGAATGTTCAAAAAAATTGTCAAAATCTTCACACCATCCCACCGTCGCCGGTGGAGAGTTACACAACCCGAGGTGCGCCGGCGCAGCGCCAGCTCTCACCGCCTCCGACAGTCGCACCTGACGCGCCGGCACGGACTGCCGACCACACCGCACACACACACGCGCGCCGTACTCCATACTACCCATACTGACAACTGCGGTATCAAAGTGCTCCAAGTAAATATTTGGATTTATTAAATTATTGAATTAAATTCAGTAAGTGTGAGCTTGGGATCCGAGTGAGAGTGTAAGGAAAGTGAGTGCAGGCGGAGCATGCGCTTGCGCCGCTGATATTTTCACTTTCTACGCGACGGGACACTGCGCAATGTGAGTATGCTTCTCTACTGTCCCCCCATTATGTAATGTTCGGACTCTCTGACACATTATCATATCCTATCATGTTATCACCACTATACCTAACTATCGCAAGTTTCAGTAAAAATCTTCACATTTCACTATCTTTTTCATTACCTTGATCAAACAAAAGCTAAAATAATAAAAGTCAAATATGATGTTCTCCTAACTTAGTTTAGTTTAGTCGCACATCTACGTTTTCTACAGTTTTACCGTCGTTTAACATAATAATTAAACACGTACAAAAACACAAAAAAAGTATAACATGAAAAAATATATTTTACAAATATGTATATGTAAACGAAGACATGCCTGACCTGAAAAAAAATATATTTAGCTGTTACGTAGCCAATTAATGACAATGACTGAACTTGTAGATCAAACCCATCATCCAATTTAAGTATATAAGATGATATTGTTAGGCGGTAAATAATGATGTTGACGATCTCACTAGATTGATGTAAACAGCGCGATGAAGATACGGTAACGCGTATTCTTACGACTCTCAAATCTTAATGTATAGAATGGGTCGCGGCATAATTAATGCTCTTTGCACCCATAGCAGCAGTAACTGCTGTCACCGATCCATTGGTGGTTGACACGTCTACAGCCTCGTCCAGAACTCGACTCTTGAGGAAATCTCTGAGGAAACGAACAGAAAAGAAAATTTGAGTTACAAAATCGCGATCTATTGCCTGGCCAAGTAGTAATAAAAAACGTAAAATCCTGAATTTCATAAAACTCATCATACAACTAGTAAAAATTGAAAGCATGACTTATTACGACATGACACTACTAACTAAAACAACATAATATGGTACGAAACATTCGACAAATCACAACAAGTTCATCATCGTTATAAGGAAAATGCATCGATTAGTGCGCACGCATGCAGGCGGTGGCTCCTCAGCAGCATTGACCTGAGAACCGTCCTACATACCGATGCCATGCAGTGAACATAATCAGCGATTCAACATTCAACCACCCATCCCATTAGGAAATAATTGTATTCACATATATTGCGATACACTACATGATTGGGACGTAAAACATTGAGCACATTATCAATTCTAGACACTGGCTTTTGTGCACGAAATTAGGTCATGTAAGGTCCTTGTGTAATGACGGTGAACCCATATGGCGTTGATACTTTATTTTCTTTTGCTAATATGTACTGAAACTTTAATTATTTGAATTGTCTCTTTGGAAAATTGTAACTATGGAGTTTGTTGCTCTTCTTCTTAATAGGAATTTATTCTTTGGAACGAGCAAATATATATAAATATATAAATAAATATATAACACATTACGAAATATTTATTCAATACCTACATATATAGCCATAGGCACATTCATTCACAACTTTCTACAAAACTAATTGCCCTTAATGAGCGTACAAGCATATGGAAGAAGGCCCGAAATCAGTCACACTAGTGATTAATTAGCTAACAAATCATGCGATGGGTGTTAAGCAATAGCAATGCTAAGTATAGCAATAGTAAGCAATAGAAGAAAACAAAGCGAGACAAAAACCCAGCTCAGATAGTGACGCGTTGTGTAACGGAGTCTGTTCTCGTGTGAAAACAACCTTACGTCACACAACTGTGCCATTGGAACCGCGCGAATTTATTTTGCAAATTGTTTTTTTATTATATTTTTTTATATTATTTACCTATTCAATATTTACATATTATGTAAGTTGCTGGATGAATGAATAACTTATTTGTATACAATATTTTTTCAAAGTTAACGATTACCTACATAAAATGTAAAGAAAATCAAAATGCAAAGTCCATTCAAAAGTTAGTAAAAATTTTTGAAAAACACATTTTTTTGTGTCTTGTGACCGACATCTAGTTGGTTATTTATTTATGTAGCTAGAAATCTTTAGCCATTATCTATGGTAGACGCTTTTTCCAAGTTCGTTGTCCTCTATCTGTGGACAGTCTTCTCCAACAGCATGGCGGGAAGTTCTATACACTCATTTTTAACGAGCCCTATTTTTCTTATAAATGTTTTTCTTCAAACTAAATTCAGATGAACGAATCATCAAAAAATACGACTCTTCCTTTTGAGTCAGAAAATCCATCATATGTTTTCACTCAACTGAGGTTTAGGGGGTAAAAAGAGGAGTTTCGAAAGTCTTAGATAGCCATATAAGACTCTTACTGACTAAATACTACCCCATCCTTTCTCGCAAGCTGAGGTTACGGTACAATTAAATATTGCGCTGTCATCGCAACCCCGAAAAACATACGATTTTGTAGTCAAAAAGGTAACAAAAACTTTAGCTTTATAAAATAAATATTTCTCTATTAAAGTGAATCATTATAAGAAAAAGTGCGATGTCCAATTATGTGGAACCATTGAAAGTAAGACGAAAATTGTCACGCACTAGTTGCGGCCCGCGGTGCCGCTTCACCAGACATTAGTGCACCTGCTCATTACGATCATACTCTGCATTTCACTTCATTGCTGTAAATTATAACCGGTATTGTATTGACTTTAATAACAATTATACTCATTAAGATTTAGAATGATTGCCATTCAGAATTGTTCAAGTAAGGGAAGACATCGCCCTTTCTATGACATGCAAAGCAACGGGAAGGTTATATTTTCGTAAATTCTTAATAAAAGCACGAAATCTCCAATATTGCTATAAATATGCACGTTACTAATAGAAATTAGAACTAATAATCAGCTAAAATTAGATGTTACTTTTAATTATTTATTTATAATAATAATAATAATAATAAAGTTTATTTATTCAGATAACTGAGATCCATGAAAATAACAGTGAAGTAAGAACAATCATAAACAGAAAGAACAATCGTATAGGTACAATATTAATATTCAATAGTAAACAGGGACTTTGTCCGCTGCACTAATTTCCGCATCAATGGACAATCATGTCTATCGGCTATAGCAGTCAGGATACTGTGGCGACTTCCACGCAGGCGACTGATGAGCGATGCGGTCTTTTTACGCCATAAAGCAGCGAATCCATCTGTGTGAGCATCAGCAAACATTGCTGACGCACTACAGAAACGTGGAAGCCGCAACAGTGCCCTGAACGCATTATTATACTGGATCCTCAGAGCATTGTATGCTCTCTGGGTGTAGTTAACCCACAGACTTCCCGTGTACAGTGAGGTGCAATACGCCTTGAACAAAGTTATTTTAACTGCGTCTGTACAACGAGAGAATCTGCGTGCCAACATATTCGCCCGAACCGACAATGCTCTGCGCTCCCTCTCCATATCAACATCATCTCTCAAATCATCAGTAACCCAATGCCCAAGATATTTAAATTGAGATACTCTATTTAAGGAAACACCATTCAAGACAATCGGTTGAATAGGCGGATTCTTGTGATCCGATTTGAAAACCATGTAAACAGTCTTTTTCACATTGTAAGAAAGTCCATGGGAGGCGACAAAAGATTCACAAACTGCGAGTAATTTCCGGAGAGCCCCAACCGACGGTGCCAGCAGCACCATGTCGTCTGCATAGCTGAAGTTGTTACAGCAGACACCATCAACATAACAGCCGACATGCATGCCGCTGAGCTCCTCAACCAGAGCATTTACGTACAGATTGAAGAGAATGGGTGAGCTCAAACCCCCCTGCCTCACCCCACACTCCAACCCGCTCGTCTCCGAAAGTTCACCCGCCCATTTCACATTATTTTCCTGATTAAGATACCAATACCTCAGAAGTGACGCCAACTCCGGCGGAACCCCAGTCCCTTTCAGCTTCTGCCACAGAACATCATATGAAACTAAATCGAAGGCTTTACTAAGGTCTAGAAAACAGGCATACACAGGAGTACGTCTGTCTGTGTAGTACTTGACAGTGTGCTTCAAACTAAAAATAGCGGTTTCTGTTGACAACCCAGGTCGGAATCCGAACTGGTTGTCTTGTAGCTGTATGTGTTTGGTGAAATGTGAGTTGAGCACACTGTCAAGCACCTTGGCAACAATGGTCGCCAAAGAAATTGGCCTGTAGTTTGTCTTGTCTGCCATATCTCCTGTCCTATTTTTAGGTATAGGCACCACCAATGTCCGCATCAAACCATGAGGAAGGTATGCGTGACTTATACATAAGTTAAATAACATGGCAAGCACCCGAGGGAGATGCCGGCCAGCATATTTCAGATGTTCAACACTGAGTCCGTCATAGCCAGGGGATCTACCGCCTGTCATTTTAGTAATAGCAATTTTAATTTGCTTTGCAAGTACGACGGTGGTAATGTCGGTGTGACAGGCGTCAAGCCCCCGACATGCCGGACCCAGCGGAGACTTTATGGAATAATAGTCCTTAAACATGTTGGCTATTTCCTTTGGAGTGGAGAGACCATCGACACTTACAGGAATACTAGGCTTAGTATTTGCACTATTAGTACATTTCCAGAACTTTTTGAAATTTGAACTTGTATGGTGCTTGGCTAATATATCCATTTTTATTTGGTCTTGGTTGTTTTGACACCATTTTAGTTTACTCTTAAATTGTTTACGTGCTTGAATCATTTCATTAAATATAACATTCTGTGTTGGTTTACCATTCAGAACCCATGTTCTAAACTTTAGCCTAGCAGTCCTGTAAGCCTCGCTCACATGATTATTCCATCCCGCTAACATTTTTCTACGACTCTTTTTATTTGGTACATAATAGGAAGCGCGAGCCGCCTCGGATAATATTTCTACTATAATAATATAAATTTTGTTTATAATTTGCTTATGACTATATAAACTACAATGCTTACCACTACAGTGTTGAAAATCTATCGGAAAGTCAACATCTTTTAACTTAGAATTACATAAATTGTGATATAAATTAATTTGAGATCCATTTCTATCCCCCCAACGTACTTTATTATGCGATGTGACTTGAATAGAAATTTTACTTAAGATTACATTAAAATTACACTTAATTACTAACGGAAAGTGATCAGACCAATAGATATCATGTTT